CCTGTCCCAATCTTGCAATACACCACAAGTATCTTTTTGAAGACAGTCACACTCACTCAACAAGAACAACAGGTAATCAGGTTACCTTTGTTTAGAATAATCCAGACTGCTCTTTGAATATATAGGCCTAAGCGTTGTGTCCCATTTCCCAGTATTTACAAAATCTGCCCCAGAGCATTCCTTTGGTAGTAGACCTGTTTTGAGAACAGGAAGCTAGGAAGCTGAATTAAACCTGCTCTGCATTTATAAGTCCTTGTCATTTCCCCCCCATCCCATTCAATTTATTCAGCATTTAGCCTATGCTTGACTGTTTCTGTTTTTCAGCAAAAGCTTCAAAAGGTAAAGACCAGTGCAAATGTGAAAACCTTGTGACATTCCAGAACTATGCAACCAATGAAGTAAGAAAACTCACCCAGCGATATATCCTTTCAAAATAATTGTTTCTTACATGTAAGACAAGGGGGGCAGGTTAAAGGAAACTATAATGCATCAAGTCCAAGCTGTCTCCATAGCTGAAATCAATCTACTGCAATGAAAAGCTAAACTACTTAATAGATAACGTTAATCTCCAAGAAGCAAGGCTTTTAAGATTTGAAATCTGCCTCCCCTTCATAGAAGGGACCAAAATATTAATAAGGATCTTAACTTTTAATAATCCCTTACGGTAAACACCTTCACGGACAGCAAAGAAATGACTGATCAAATTCAAGACTAACACTCTTCGCTTTGGGTTATTTCTTCAGATGGTATTGAAATAGCATTTACTGGCTACAGGAGTCAGAATACAGGAGATGGTTCCCTTCTGAACTGCTTGGTGAAGCACCAGATGCAGTGAGCCATTTAAAGCAATACTCCAAATGAAGAGGAATTGAGAGGACTGAGGTCTGATTAATTTTGCATAAACAAATATACAAATAAAAATTAGCTAAGTGCAGATAGCTAGCTTTCTTCCCCTCCCCCCCCCAAGTTAGTCCGTCTTTTCAAGGGGGGCTGTTAGTACAGTAGCCTTTACACTATCTGTATCATCCACCAGATGTCTCAGGAGACAACAGCAGCAAATTGGCAATACAACTTTCTGCAATATTTTGCATCACGCAGTATTTATGCAGCAAACTCCTGTGTTTTCTCCATGAAAGCTGCTTCTGCCTCATCAAATAAATAGTAAAAAGACATCACATCTTCTATTTTAGTTTTGTAACTGTGTGCAAGATCAGTAAGCGCTTTTTTTCTACACAGAAGAGTGCAGTGATGCCAATAGCTCATAACTGTGTGCTTCCTACGCAAGAACAGCTTCAGGCTGAGGAACCTGTGCAGTTAAGTGTCCAGAGTCAGGCTAACAGAGCCCTCAATGGTCGTGACAGCAGGCAAGACCACAGAGGGCTCTGTTAACCGGTTGCAAAATATTGCCTACCAGTTCAGACCTTACCTCCAGCTATTTTGTGTAACTGCAGCAGCCAGCCTCACCCTGTCTCTCACCTTCGCAAGTGAATCCTTCAGCAGGTAGCTCATGGAATCACGTTCTGATCACTTGATTAATTTTAAATTATTCCATGCAAAGCAGAATTACTTCATAAAGGGGGAGAAAGCCACCGTATAAGTTTATTGCTAGGTGCTTCAAATGCTCATCAACATCTACACTTCTCTGAAGGGACTTCTCCAAAGTCTCCAAGGACACTTTGGAGAAAAATCTCTAGGTCATTTTTCCCACATCGTAGAGCGTTCTCTCCAGACACACACAGTTCCAACCTAGATGCTGACAAGACAGACGACCACTCCTTCCCCCTTCAGCAGAAGCAATAGCCTCTTTACTGTAATCTCCTGCAGCTGGGCTATGAGGAACACTGAGCTTGCTGATAATCAAAGAAAACAGAGCTTAGCAACATGTGCTTTTTTGCTTTACAATTTGAGCAGGCAACCCTGTGATTTTGAGAGTCTGAGAAGGACTCAAGGCAATGGAAAAGCTGCTGACACTGAGCCAGGCACCTGTGCATTTTGATAGGAACAGTGCCAAGCACTTCCCCAGTGCAACCACTGCTTTGAACAGAGTAAGAACTATCCAGTTTCCTCACCATTACAAACCTCATTTCTCTGCCTTATCTGAAGAGCAGCTCGGATACTGAGTGATACACTAGTTCTTGACAACTGCTGAAGACTCTGCTGGCCGGTCCCTATCCCAGGGATCTGGGGGGTGGAGGGAGAGGGAGAACTGGCTACAAGACTAGCTCCAGTTATGGAATATAAATTTAGAGGGACCAATCCAAACTGTCGATGATTTGTATCCAACTACATTCAACATTTTCTATCAGTAGATGAATGCAGTTTCTGCTACTTGAACTTTGCCTCTGTAAACACTTGAGAAACGTTGATATTGCATAGAAAGCAGCTCAAATGATGCTAGCATGCATATAGTAGTCCCTTCTGCATGACAGGCAGTTGAGGAATTACCAAACATAAACCTGATGTATGGGCAGGCTAGCCCCCACAGAAACCGCACTCCCACTCTTGCTCCCATTGCTTCGCATTGCTACGGCTTCTTACTTTCAGTGGAGCCAGCCCTAGATCCCATGGAGTTGCTTGTGCTCTACTCCACATCTGTCTGGAAACCGCTGGCTTTGTAAAAACAATACCCTACACTACACCACCACAGGGCAGGAATATAAGATCATCAGCCGACATTCGTACTGCAGTCATGGAGCTACGTACAGTTTTATTATCTACTGTTAGCTTACATGTAGTTTTCCATATGATTGAGTGAAGCATTTTTTAAACAGCATTAACTAGGATAAATACTTAGCTTCCCTTTAAAATAGAGCAAAATGGCCAATTTTCAGAACCACCAGCCTTTTTAATAAGCTGCAGCCTGAACTCCATGTTGAGGTATGCCTGTTAATGAATGGGGCTTCACACAGCTTTCTCAACTCAGCTGATCAAAGCAGAGTAAGAAAAGAGAGGGGACTAGTTTATCAGGAACTACTGGGAATCAAAGAGGGTAACAAAGAGGAGAAACAAGCAAGTTTATGGACCACCACAATCAGGCAGCTGACACTGATTTTCTATTAATGCATGCCATCGGTAGCTGTCTTTCCTTAACTTTTGTCTACTGGAAGAAATGACAAAGAGAATGGAAGACTTGGAAAACAGGCTAAAATACTGATCAAAATTTCAAGTGTATACTACACTGTATATTTATACATACAAACTTGTCAGAGCTATTTTCTTAAACTGGTTCAAAGTAAAATAACAAATCCTTGTGTCTGAAGTTGAAAAGAGTATTCTGGATCCCTGCATCTATATACTATGTGTTCTGTCTTGCATTGATTGCAGATAAGAAATGTTGAAAATTTTATAAATGATTCAGTAACTAGCAAAAACTCTAATTAAGCAGAACTAAACAACTGAAATAAGCTATGCAAAACAATAAAATGCTGTTATTTTTTGAAGTGAAACCTCCATGTTTTGAAGTACTTTTAGGGTATGAATTTATTTGGCTTGCTTTTCTGTATTTCCCTCCTCCACTCACTCTGCTAGTATTTTAAGCACCCTGTGTGGATATATATAGTTCTATATATACATACGTATATAAAAACAGACAAGTGGGACAGCATTCACAGCAACTAATTTCACTTACATTCTTCCAACAAGAGTAGACTACTGAAATCAGTTGGAAGTAAAACCAGGAATTTATACATTTGTGTTGAAACTATGATGAAAGTAAATGAGTAAAGTGGGAAATCTGCTGGGTTATCAGGGTATCACAATCCCAAGTTTCAAGTACTACTTCTCTTACCACATCCAGACCATGTAACTTCTCCCTACTGTTCCTTGGTCAGCATTCAGTGAATCTCCCAACTTTCCTGAATGCAACTAGTATTTTAATTATGAATTCATTCTTTGGCCAGTACAACTAGCTGCACGCCTGTTCGTCAAACACTAAGACACAAATGAAAACAGCAAATTGCTTCCAGCCATTCTGGCCATCTGAAGTGCCTTGAAGTTTTACTCCTTCCCCTTGGCAGCAACGGCACCCTTCTGCGACCTTTACTTTCACACTAACAGCAGTATCTAAACCATCTCTTGAACTGATCCAAATCTGGGGTTTAATAGGTAGAGACGCCAGCACTTCCTCCTTTGCTTTGATACACGTTGGTTTGCCTCTTTATTAATCTCCAAATGGAAATACACAACTTCATCCATTCTATACCAGAAGCAGAAGTAGTTGCAGCAAAACTAGATTAAGTGATCTCAGATAAGCTCTGAGCGTGCACGGATACGTAACGGCAAGCTTTAAGGTACGCTGTGCTTTGGCATACTTCGGCAAACAGAATGCATGTTCTGCAAGGATACCGGTACATACTGATTTTCATTAGGCATTTCTTTTACCGCATGTCAGCAAAGCACTGGCACCTCTATTAATAATCACTAGTAACAAGGAACATCCTGCAGCCATGGTCTCACACAAAACAGGCACAAATCTGTTCAGACACCAATGTTCTCAGCAATAGTGACTTGAGAACACCAACCCATCTGTCTCTAACACAACATCTTCAAAAAACTAATAAAAAAAGGACTAATTTAAAGTCAGCTTTGAAGAGTTAATTGGTATCTTATTTGAAGTATGATGTTACACATCACATCTAGCAGCTATCCTATTTGACAGATATATATTCTCTTGGAATGAAAAGACAAAGGGGATACTTTGCATTAGTGTTTTGTGATTGACTTGGTAAAAACTGTGTGAATTTTTTTAGTGTAAGTAAACCCTTTGGGGTTCCCCACCAAGATCCCAAATTTGCTACTGTACCTCACATTACAACTTGTTTTTGCATTAGCACTCCAAAACCAAAGAACTACAGAAGCCCTAGCCTGTTGGGATTTGACACCATACTTGCCATGATCAAGTCTTACTCCACTTACCTCTCAAGATCCACAATTTCTAGAGAAAGAAACAGACAAGTTTTGTCCTGTGAAGGTTATTTCTAATAGAACAGGAAACACAGCAGTGGTAATGAATCTTCATTTATATAGTTTGTTCCCTAAAACCAGCAAAGGTATAATACAGATTTTTCTTAAAACAGATCTGTAACCAGTTTTATTGTAGAAATAACACCTTTACAGCATTTACTTCTCACTGGTTTGTTCTGGCATGCTTCTAATGATGTCAGAGTCACCTGAAAAACAAAAATACATTGTTACAAGAGGACCCACAGAAAGAGCCGTTTTCAGGAATAAACCAAAAAGTTAAAAAAAAAACCAACACACTGGTTCTACAAATAGAAAACAACTTAAAAGCAATACAAAGACAGTCTGTTTAGGAAAAAAGCAAGTCATTTTGATGGCTTGATAAAAAAAATACTTGTAACTGTATTTTGCTAATACATACACAGTATTTTTACAATAATTATGTCACTAGCATTTACAAAGCCAGTACTAGAGCAACAATCTAGTCCTGGAGGACACAATGCATAGTTTTAATATAGCGAATGCCTAGCCTCCCCTGATCACGAAAATATCAGGACAGCGAGAATATTCGCATTACGTTACATAGCAATAAGATTTACTTGCAGTTCCTTAGCTTACAGTTAGCCCTCCCCCCCCCTCCAATCAAACCTAAAGGTAACATTCTGAAAACTGAGTTTACAGCTAATACTTGAATACAAGGCAAGCTAAATAAAGTTTTCTGAAGAAACAGCAAATTCAAACTGATGCCACTTGGGGAACATTTGGTGAAAGTTATTACAAAAACCATTAAATCCATGCGTAAGCATTTTGGTCAATAAACAGAACAAAAGATTGTTTCTTCTCTTAGAAGATTTTGGAAAGCGGACGACAAGTCACCTAATTACCAGTCTGTACGAGGAACCTGAGCAACTCTCTGGCACAAAGAGTGCCACCAAACCATAGTAATTACACACAGATTTACAGTTTTAAAACAAAACATTTAATAGAATTTTCAACCCTGGATTAGTATCCACCTGCATATAGGTTATTTTTGTATATATTACTCTGGGAAGCAGGACAACTCGCAATCCTTTGTCTTGGAACAGTCAAACAAGGTTGATGTAAACAGTATGTTGCACAAGCTCATATTCTAGCTGACGGGCTCAGAAACATGTACTATAAAGTTGCTTCCCAGCCACTGAAACCTCATTACAGACCGACAGGGAGACAAACCACACGCTCACAGGGTTTAGCAGTAAAAGGAGCTATGTGCAGACATAAGCAGCAGTAATTTCAGGTTCCAAGAACCTAGAACTCACAAAAGAAGAACAGGATTTTGGTCAGAGGAAATTATAGGACAGCAAAGTATGTCATCGCCTCTGCACGTTACTTCACAGTGCTGCTACTCACAGGTGAGTGGCGGAACCACTGATAACAGTATAGTGACCAAATGGGTATGTAAGAGAGACATACCTGGGTCAATGATAGCCAGTGTGCACACCCTGTAGTATTTTCCACACGCTGTGCCCAATTCAATGTTGTTGCCGCTATAATGATGGACACCAGTCTTGGCAAGCATAGCGTAGTACTCGATCTCCGATTTTCTGAAATTCAAAACCTAGGCGTTACAGTACTGACAAACAATTCTAATTGACTGTAATACAGCGAGAGCAGCTTTAACTCCAATCACACTTAAACCTTACACAGTTTTCCTTCCCACCCAGAAAAACACTTCTGTTCCTTGCCAGCCAACATCACTACTGTGTGGCTCAGGAACCCTTATCCAGAAGTATGCTGAAGGTATGTAACGGCAAACCCACTTCTGAGTGCAAATCCTTGAGGCAGCTCCTCATTTCTACAGGAAAGAAGGGGGATTCAGGACTTTGACTTCCAAAATGTTGTAGGAGCTAAGCCAAAGCGCATAAACCATGACCATTATTAAGGCTGATACCCAGCGGCCAGATGCTGAACAGAGATCTGACTGCAGCTAGCTGTGAAAGAAACTGTGTATTTTTCTTTAAAAAAAAAAAAAAAAGAGTCAATCTATATTCCCTTCTCTTCTGACTTCCACCAGGAGATTCCAGTGGTCAATACTGTTCCTCAAGCACTTTTGGGATCCCCACTAACATGTTGCCTACCATAACAGTCCTGCCATTTCTCAAGCATCTAATTTTGGTTTTCTGCATTTACAGTTTCCCAACTCTGTCAATATCCCTGGAAGACAAAAAGGGCCCAGAAATTCAACACAGAAAATGTCATTCTCAAAAAAGCAATTTCACTGACCAGGATCCTAAATCTATAACTCACTTGGACAGAAAATTTTGTGTGCTTCAAATATTTTAAATCAGTGTCAATTACTAGTTTTCCTACCTGTAAAATTATTTTCCAATATACTACTTTGAAAAAACACAGGAATTCAGTCCCATTATATTCGTAATGAATGCTATCACAGTGTGAAAAGCTTACAGTACCTTCACTAGTGCAAACTCTTTGAATTTGAAAGCTAGAAAAATGTTGGGAAGCATTTCAGCTCATCCAGACCTGAAATCATTACACACCAAACAACCCATCACTTTTATTTCATAGCACTCTGGAATATGCCAGCAAGTATTCTGTATTAATAATTCACTGTAGCTATTAACATGAAGTTCATGCTGTATCTGTGCAAAGAACCAGTCTTAGTTTTAGCGAACTGTTTTTTCATACATCTGCTTACCTCAAAGCAGGACAGTTGTTGGCTAGGATGACAAGCTTGGCTTTGCCCTGCCGAATCATTTTCAGAGTCTGTTTGTATCCTAGCACATATTTACCACTTTTCATAACCAGCTGAAGCCTAGAGTTTATGGACTCTAGGGACTTTTTCTGAAAAAGGTGTAGAAAAGCATTATTGTATGTTACTTTACGTTTTACAAAATGGCAGAGAACATAAGAAAATGAAGACATTCCAAATACAAGCAATCTTGTAATAATTTCCCTATAATTTGCAACACGGAATAAAAAAGCCAGCCTACCATATGAATATGAGAAAGCTTGCGGATAAAGGGGTTGCCGACACTATGTTTTCCCAACTTCATAAAAATACCTCTTACCCACATATCTTACAACTGGAAAATGCATCTTAATGCACTGATGCTGCTGTCTATGCTAATCAGTAACGGCCGGGTGTATTTGGCAGACCTTTAGCAAAGTGCAGCTAGTCAAGTTCAAGTAAATACTACTTCTGCCTTGCAAATCTAAGCCAGGTTTGGAGTACGTCTCTTCCCAGGGCACCTACTAATAGCGATACATCGGTCAGCAGAAACAAGTAATCACATGCAGTACGAGCTGACATTCCAACAGGAGAGGCATGGCGCTCATGACAACAGGTCAAGTGCGTTTGCGAGGACGCCCACCACCATCTAGCAAGAAACCCATGCCTGCCAGAGTCGCTCCAAGAGAAAGGCAAGAACATGGCAGGAAACGCGAAAGCTGAGCTCCACCCGCACCAGGAACTCAGCACCAGCTCCCCCTTCCTCCGGCTAGCACAGAGGCCCTGTAAGCAGCCCCGGATAGTGCGCGGGAGGGATCCGAGGACGGAGAAGCCGGCGGGAGGCGACCGCAGCCTGTGCCAGGA